TTAATCCTCTCTCTGAGGTGCATTGTTTTAATTTTCTGTTTGGTTTTGGTTTAGGGTAATTCCTATTTCGTAAAATGAGTAGAGAAGAGTTCCCTCCTATTCTGTTTTCTAGAAGAGTTTATATTAAATATGTTGTTTCCTATTTAGATATTTGGTAGCATTCCCTGATAAAGTATCTGGCCTTGGGATTTTCTTTTTAGCAAGATTTTTTATTATATATTCAACTCTGTTGATAAAATCCTATTCAAGTTAATTATTTTTCTTAGGTGAATTTTGGTAGTTTGTGACTTATGTGGAATTAGGCCTTATCATCTTAAATTGCTGAATTTATGTGCATAGGGTTGTTTGTAGTATTCCCTTTCCTCTTAATGTCTCTGTAGGTTGTAGTGATCTCTCCTCTTGTTTCTGATGTAGATCATTTGTATCTGCTCTTCTCCTTATCTCCCCGCCTTTGCATGGGCAGGTTTTCTCTCTGGTCAATCTGGTTCCAAGTTTATAAATTTTATTTATATTTTCTTTTTTTTTTTTTTAATATTTATTTTTTAGTTCTCGGCGGACACAACATCTTTGTATGTGGTGCTGAGGATCGAACCTGGGCCGCACGCATGCCAGGCGAGCGCGCTACCGCTTGAGCCACATCCCCAGCCCTTTATTTATATTTTCAAAAAATTACTTTATAAAAAACGTTTTTGTTTTCATTGATTTTTCTTTTTCCAGATTTATTAATTTCTTTTTATTCTTTATTTCTGTTTGCTTTCGGATTGTTTTGCCTTTTTTTTTTTTTTAAGTTTCTTAAAAGTAGGAGCTTGAGACTTTCCTGCTTTTCTAGTAAAAATATTTAATGCTTAAGTTTCCCTATATCATTGTTTAGCTGAATCTCATGAAATTTAAAATGTAATTTCATGTTTATTTAGTTCAGAATATTTTCTAATTTCCTTAAGACTTCATTTTCAACATAGTGATAATGTAAAGTTTGTTGTTTAATTTTCCAAGTACTTGAGGATTTCTCTAGATATTTTCCTGAGACTGATTTCTAGTTTAATTTCATTATGGTGGAAGAAATACTTTGCATGATTTCAGTTCTTTGAAATTTGTTTTGGTTTGTTATGACTCAGAGATTGAGTAAAGAACAAAGAAAGACTAAAAAGCAGAAAAATCAATGAAATTGAAAAAAGGAAAAGAAAAATCAGTGAAACAAAAAGGTGTTTTTCTGAAAAGGTTAATAATGAATATTCCATGTGTGTACTTGAAAAGAATGTGCATTCTATTGTTGACTGGAGTGTTTCATGAGTGTCAGTTCCTATTGGTTTGTAGTGTAATTTATTTCTTGAATATTCTTGATTACTTCTAAATATGTCCATTAGTTTTTGAGAAAAGAGCTTGAAGACTTGAACATATTGTGTATTTTTAGTTCTTTCAGTTTTTATATATTCTGAGCTCTGTTAGTTAATTTCACATTAATAATTGTTATATGATCTTGACAAATTGTTCCTTTTATCTTTATGATATGCTTACTTATCCTGGTAAATTTCCTTGCTTTTTAGACTAATTTATGTAATAGTGATAGAGTTCTTTCAGTTTTCTTTTGAACATGGAATATCTTTATTTAATCTTTTATCAGAATTACATTTTAATTTAAAATGCTCATCTATATTTTTCTATTTAATTTATATGTTGGATTTTTATTATATTTCATTGTGCACTTATATATTTTAGTTAATTATACTAGAAATTGCAGGGGGGTTTTGGTTTTTTTTTCTTTTTTTTTTTTTTGTGTGTGTGTGTATAAACAGTTGATCTTCTGTATACATGGATTCCACATCCATGGATTCAGCAAAAAAACACATCTGTACTATAGAACATAAACAGACTATCATTCTCTAAAAAATATAGTATAGCATTTGCATCATAATCCATAATATAAGTAATCTACAAATCTTAAATTATTTGGGAGTGTTTGCATAGATTATATGCAAATACTATGACATTTTATATAGGGGCTTGAGCATGTGAGATTTGGGTATATGAGGGGTATCCTAAAACCATCCCAAATGGATAGTGAGGGATAACTGTATTCAATTTTTCAGAGTTCATGGAGAATAAATATTCTGCCACTTCAAGTAGAATATATAAAACTTGCCACTATACAAGTCCCTTTAACCATTGAGGATTGTGGTTGACATGTGTTTATCTATTACAGATCTCACCAGGCCATCTTAAATTTTTTGTTTAAAAGTTGTATGTATTATAAAGAAGAAAAGGAAAGTAGTTTATCATATTTGCCCAGATACTTTCCATTTCTGTTTATTTTCCTTCATTCCTGCAGTTCCATCTTCCCTAACATTTTTCTTCTGTAAACAGAATGTCTCTTACCATTTCTTTTATAGCAAGTCTGCTGGTCACATTTTTTTTTTTAAACTACCCTTTATCTAAGAATATCTTCATTTTGTTCTTAATTCTGAAGAACATTTTCACTGTTTATTGAGTTCTAAATACACAATTCAGTTGTTGTTTTTCTTCCCCCACCACTTTAAAAATGTTGTTCCCCTGCCTCTGGCCTCCATGGTTTCTCAGAAGAAATTCATAGTCATTTTTTTGCGTCATTGTTCCTTGTATGGTTTGTGTTGCTTTTCTTTGACTGCTTCTAAGATTTGATTTTCTTTGTGTTTGCTTTTCAGCAGTTTGGCTAAGACTTATCTGCACATGAATTTTGCTGAGTTTTTTCCATTTGGACTCACTGAATTTCTTGAATCTACATGTTTGATCCTTGCAAATTTTGACAAGGTTTTAGCTATCGTTTTTTTCAAATATTTTTGTTTGTAGTATTTTCTTTCTTCTAACACTCAGGTGACTCACAGATCTGGATGATCCTATTTTTCTCCTAATCTTTTTCCCTTTAATTGTTTTTACAAACAGTCCCCAACTTATTATGGTTCAGCCTAAGATTTTTCAACTTTATAGTGGGTTGTAAACACATTTTCAACTTTGGGTGGATTTATCAGGAAATAACTCTATCATAAGTTGAGGGGCATCTTTGACCTAGGATCTGTCTTCAAGTTCACTGACTCCATTTTATTATAAAATCCTTTAGTAAATTTTTTAGTAGGAAAATTCCCTTTTGGGTTTTTATTTTGTTTTGTTTTGTTTTGTTTTTTTAGATCTTCTGTTTCTCTGCTAAGACTTCTGTCTGTTCCTGTTTCAAGACTGATTTTCCTTACTTCTTGACCATGTTATCATAGCTGCTTTAGAGTCTTCATCTGATAATTCCACTGTCTGAGTTAACCTCAGTGTTGATATGTGTTGACTGTCTTTCTCTTGTGAGTTGTTGAGATCTTCCTGATTCTTTGTATGAAAAGTAGCATTAGATGATATCTTACATGTTTTCAATATTACTTTCTGTGACTTTTAATCCTGTTTATAACCTGTATTGAACATTGATTTTTTTTTTTTTAAGTTTAACAGAATTTGATCTAGTTAGATTCTCTCTCCAGCTTCTGTGTGCCTCTATTCCTGGTCTTCTGACTGGGAAACTAAAATGTACCTGCCTAATCTGCTGTCCTCCAGGGAGCCAGGGGCATCAATTCTGTCATTAAATAAGGGGAGAAAAAAGAAAAACAAGAGGAACTTCAAATCCACTTACTCCTTGGAGCACAGTTCATCTGCTCATAAAGGATTCCCTCTAAAGTTTAGATATATGTTCCACTTCTATTGCCATCACCTACTGCCACAGGATTGCATCTTAGGGATTTGTGCTTATTTGGGCACTGGGGCAGGAGCGGAAACAAACCCACCAAAGAAACCAGGGTTATCACCTGCTCTTAGTTACATCTGTTGCTCCATGTCCTTTTATATTCTTTGGACCAGAGAGGATCTCTCTTGGAGTTCTTTCTGTATCATGTTTACATTTCTGGGACTCAAGTTGTTTTTTGAGGAGGAGCCAAGCATAGGCTGGAAATGTGATTGGGGTGGAGGCAGGAAAATGTACCTTGAATTATGGTTTATTTGCTACATTCTACCTGCTTCTATTTTCTTTTTGGAGTTTTTAGATAGCTGATTTGTGCATTCTGCCCAGGGTTTTTGAGTAAATTAAGTGTAGACCAAGGATAAAGAGATTATTGCGTCTGAATCAGAAATCTTTAAAATGTTTTGAGTATTTAAAATTGTGTTTCATTAATTTACCAAATTTTAATTAATGTTATAGCTTATAGAAGTATAAAAATAATTGAAAAGGATTATAAAATCCAAGGATTTGAAATTACCTTGTAAGTCATTTAGGCTAACCATTTACCTTTGACACATCCCTTTCACCTCCAACTATAGTTGATGATATTTAAGATTAAGTATTTACATACCAGTGTATTAGCTGTTTGTCTACCTTAAGTTATTTAATTTGTACATAATTTGTACATAATCATATTGGGTATAATATAATTCTTTTTCTATCCTTTTTAACTGATGCAGAAACAAAATTCTAGAATGCCTTTCCTCTATAAATAAGATCTTTGAACCAGTCACATTGTCATTACTTTGGGAGCCTATAAGGAATGTATAATCTTGGATTTTAATCCAGACTTTGCATTTGAACAAGATTTCCAGGCGATTCATTTGAATGTTATTTTTTTAAAAATCACTGGTTATAAATATCTTAATCATGGTCATGCAAGTAAGCTTAGGCAGTATGGTCAGACCATCAAGGTATTGAACTATGGATTCTCAAATTGTGAACCATCAGGGGCATGGGTTGTATTTTTAAAACTTTACAGTTTAATAACCATTTTGCAGGAAATGATCACTCCTAGATATTAGATTAAAACTACTTTTTTATTTATAATCTTTATCTTTCATTAAATTAGGCAATATACCATGCGTACAGTGGTATTCAGAGCTGTTTCACTTGTATGCCCTTTTTATTGGTACATTCATTGAAATCAATGTACATTTATTTATAATTCATTCTGTATATCATGAGTTGTTTCTGCCTTTTGTCTCTGTAACTATAGGTAACAGTTAACCTCTTCCAGATGCAGCACTTGCAGGCTGCCTCCCTTGCAAACAGTTTACAGTCTCTCTGTGATAACGCCAAACTTTATGATCCAGGCCAAGAGTATAGTGAATTTGTGAAGGCTACAAATTCAACTGAAGAAGAAAAAGTTGATGGGTAGGAATTAATATGTAGAATTAATATATTTCTAGAGATAAAACATTTACTAAGTTTCTGACTGTTATAAAGAGGTATCTTTTCTAAACTTGATAGAATTAACTTGAAAAGTTTCTGAATTTTTTTATATTATTTTGTCATTTCTTAGTCCATTCAGTGAATAGCTTTCCATTTTGACACAGACCTCAGTTCTGTGAGACTTAAAAATCCTTTGGGAATGTTAAATGACAATCATACACATTTTGAATGTCCACAAAATTTAACCTATATTTTCCACTGAAGTGATACTAGAAAAGTTTAACCGTAACATGAATTACTGACTATACCGTTGCTATTCCTGTTCATGTTTCAACTGTGCAAATAAAAGTTTTTATCCATATCTCCTTAAAGAAGAGATATTACTACTATCTATGTAATAGTTTGTTCATAATATTTAGTTAATTACTCTATATTTATTAAGTCTACAGATTTTTCTGACTATGGTATAAAGTAGATTTATTGTTAGTGCTGAGCTTTATTTGCTTTTTCTTAGGAATGTAAATAAACCATTAACAGATAGTTCCCGGACATCTAGATATGGCCCTGCTGACTCTTTAGAGGATGTTGTGCGCCTTCCTGACAGTTGTAACAAAATTGAAGAGGACAGATGCTCTAACAATGCAGACCTAACAGGTACCTTTCACTTTGAAGAGAATACAGGTTTATGAAGGAGCAGATTGCTCATTTAATCATGAAATGAACTAGAGCTCTGGAATTAGAAAATCAGGCTTCATAATGTAACTCTATGAGACCTAGTCCCAATTATAATCACCATGTCTGCCTTAAAGTCCCTAATAGTTCATTATTAAAGAAATTTGAATCGTCTCATTTTATATAATGTCAGTGTTTTACCTTATGAAATCCACCTGTTAGCTAAGTTTTGACTTTAAATATTCTTTTCTTAAAGGTTCTTCTTTCATAAGATCATGGACATGTGGGATGGTTAGTGACTCTGAGAGTACTGGAGGGAGCAGTGAATCTAGATCTTTGGATTCAGAGTCTATAAGTCCAGGTACATAAATATTTAAGTCTAGCAGTGAAAATATTAAAATAATCATTCGGGGTATATTTATAACTATCTTATTTGTGTAATGAACTGTCTTAGATATAGAGATGAGAATGTACGCATATATGTACAAGAAAAAGAATGAAACAAACCCTCACTAAAAATATTAATACGTTAGAAGCCCTCTGAGTACCCCTTCTTGATAACACTGCCTTATCTCCCATGAGAATAAACTATTATCCTATTTTTTAAATCATTCTGTAGATATTTTAAGTGTTTTTAGTACCTATATGTACTGGAGTTTTTCCCCTTTCTGGATGTTGTTCAAATTCAGTCATACTGTTTTATGACTTAATTCATGCATGTTATGTTAATGCAAGTAGTTGCCTTTATTTTTACTCCTGTATCCTAGTCTATGAACTTGAATATCATTATCTGTATTTTGAATTATTTTGAATTATTTTGCTATAATAAACAATTCCATTATGCTTATGAAAATTATTGCTAAATTTTTACAAATGTGCTTTAAGGTACTATGATATAAATAGTCTCAAAATTCTCAGAGAGGAAATGTTTTGGATTCCCGCTTAGTAATACTAAAGAGAATAATTCACCATAGGTTTTATAGCTAGTAGGAGAAAGTAGCATTTAAATTCAGGAGATTCTTATTTCCACATTCTTCTACCAAAGACTGCTATAGTCCTTTCTGGCTATCTACCTTCCTCCTAGACTCTAGGGGGATGTTACAGGGTTTGACCTCGTCAAATTCCGAGGCCATTTTTTCAAGAATTTTACGTATTGCAGTTTTATACATTCATATGAACGACTTGTGTTTAAAGTTGTAATTTTTGCCATGCAGGACTGGGGTTTGTAGATTGATCATCAGCTGCCACTTTCTTACTTCCCGCTCGCTCTATTCAAGGGACATTCTAGAAGCTAAATATTTAACTGAATATTTGTAAATCTAGGTAATGCCAGAAATTAAGACCCAATCTAGAGCAAGCCCTAACCCATTTGGAATCTTGTAAATGTTATGTGATGAAGGCAAAAATTTGGAATTTCTGTCACATGATAAGTGGGTAGTCTGAAGGATGCCTCACCTGAAAAAGGAAACTTAAGGACATTACATGGAATGAAATGAAGGGGGGTTTGAGTTATAGTTCTTGTTTGCCCCTGTGAGAAAGAAATATGACCAAAGACTGGTATTCATACAGAGGCAGATTTCTGTTCAATAATTTAAGGGAACTATTTTATAATTAGAATAGTTCTAAAATGGAACATGTGAATTTGTGATTTTTTCAGTCATTGGGAACACATTCCAAGCAAAAACTAGACACTCACCTGTAAACATATTGAACAGAAAACCTTTTGAGAAAAGGATATTGCTTAGCATCATTTATGGAAAGTATTAGTAACTGAAGCTAAGACAATTAAGACCTTGAGTTAAAGTGAATTCTTTTCAGTTGTAGACCTGTTTATAATTTCAACAGAGTAAATCTCTGCTAGTCAGTCTGCTTCCAAACCAGCTTTGATATATACACAGCAGTGTCCTTTGACATAGTTTGAACTTATGGTTCAGTTCCTGGCTAGAGATCCCTGGGTTGTTGTTCCTGGCTCCTGTCTCCTGAATTACTAATAACATAATTTAATTTTACTATTGGATTATTGGGTTCAAATGATTTTTGTATACTTTAGAAGGCCTTACATTATATACATTTATTTGTAACTTAGGAAACATTTAATGACAACTTTACTATTTTGCTAGCCACTGTCAGATATTAGATATAGAACATGAATATCAGATACTACCTATGTGAAGCTTACAACCTCTAATACTTTCAATCAGAAGTTGGCAGTAAGTTCTCTTAGGAATATATGATCCTAAGTTTTAAATTTATTTGAAAAACTCAGAGTTAGTTAAATCCCTTTTTTCCCCCAAGAATGAAAGAACATCAGAATTCCCTGTTATCTAGAGTATGTATAAGAATGGAAGCGAATTTTTGCAGTGAAGCTAATAAAATAGTATGACTTGTATGATTCAAAAAATATTGTAATTTCCTATTTTTGATATTCTATAATGAATAGTTAGATAATGGTATCAATAATTTTCTTTTAGGAGACTTTCATCGAAAACTTCCACGAACTCCATCCAGTGGAACCATGTCTTCTGCAGATGATTTAGATGAAAGAGAGCCACCTTCCCCTTCAGAAGCTGGTATTGTATTGTATTCACCTGAATGAAAACCCATTAAACTGGTTGAATTAGTAGCACCTCATGATGTTAGAAAGATAGTGTCTTTAAAGAATCATTACTTTGCTGTGTACTAAACAAAAGCATCACACAGTAACTTAAATATATCCTAGTAATTATGTTCAAATATTAGTTGATAATGTACTAATCAGTTATTTAAAATACAAATAGAAGAATAACCAGCAGGGTTAGGGATAATAACTAAATGGTAGAGTACTTGCTTAGCATGCACAAGGTCATAGGTCAATTCCCAGCACCACAAAATAAAAAAAAAAAAAAAAGAAAAAGAATAAGCAACAAAATTAGTAGATCTAAAATGCATTGATATGTTATTAAAATAGCAGGCTAGGTATGGTCTTTTTTTCATAAACCCAATATAGTGACTTATTGTTGAAAGGGAGCATCCTGAGAAAATCTGAAAAATCTTCTTCTAAAGAAAAGAGTGTAAGAAACCAAGCAGGAAGAACAGATTAAGTGTTCTTCCTGAGAATAAGGAATGTTGTGGGTATTGAAGGATATAAAGTCAGCTACCTTAAAGACTCAAATTAGACTCTCATAAATTAATTTTATACATTTGATACCTGTAGATATCTGTCTTGGCATAGTTTCCCAAATTAATGGGATACCAATATAATATTAAAATATAACTAGCTAGTATTACCTATAATTTTATTATGAGTTAAGAAGAGCTTTATCCTTAATGTAAATAATTCTAACATACTAGCTTCATGTAGCTGTTCTTCTTTGAAGCATTTATAGCACTTATATGCCACCTATGAATATAGTTCCCAACTCGGTGAAGGACGTATTAATAAAAATACAAATATGCTGGTTCTTTTTTTCTTTCTTTTTTTTTTTTTTTTTGGTACCAGGACTTAAACCCAGAGCACTCTTATCACTGAGCTGCCATACTCAGCCTTTTCATTTTTTATTTTAAAACATGTCTCACTAAGTTGCTGAGGTGGTCCTCAAACTTGTGATTCTCTTGCCTAAGCCTCCTGAGTTGCTAGGATCATAGGCATACACCATTGTGCCTGGCTTAAATTTGCTGATTCTGAAAACAATATGCCATAGTATTTTAGAATTATTTTATGGGTTTGATGGTGATTTTGACTCATGGATAAAATTTTGAATAAAAGTGTGTGTTTTATAAGAGATCTATACGTTGGATGCTTTTTTTCATGTTAGAAACTCAAAATATAATAGCTTTTGTAATATGAATAATCTGAAAGTCTAAAAATTATTCCAAGTCCAATATCATGTGGTCTATTTTTGTTTTTCTTTTGTCATTTTACCCTTCTTATATACTAACATTTCTGTTGTAAGGACCCAATTCCCTTGGAGCTTTTAAGAATACATTGATGTCAAAAGCAGCTGTTACTCACAAGTTTCGAAAATTGAGATCCCCCACAAAATGCAGAGATTGTGAAGGCATTGTAGTATTCCAAGGTGTTGAATGTGAAGAGGTAAGATCTTTTTGGAATCACATTGGCCCCCTTATTTCTTTGCTACAGACTTTTTTTGTTATGGTTTTACTTATTAAGAGATGTGTATGTGTGCACACACCTAAATATATAAATTTGTTGTTTATAGTACTGGGAATTGAATTCGGGGTCTTGCGCATGCCAGGCAAGCACTTTATCCCTGAGTGATATTTCCAGCCCTTTTAAAATTGTATTTTGAAATGGGGTCTTGCTAAGTTGGACTGGCCTCCAACTTGTGATCTTCCTGCTTCAGTCGCTCAAATAGCTAGAATTATAGGTATATGACATCACACCTGGCTCTGCCAGTATATTTTTAATAAAGTCCCACAATTTATCTTCTATGGTTTTATACTTTATTTTGCTGTTAATTGTTTGCATACACCACAAGTGATACTTTTTAACTAATTTTTTTTTTTTTTGTCATTAGTCTGCCTGTCATTTGCTTAGTTGTGAATAATGTAAGGTGAATTAATCACTTTTAAACTATCATTTTCTTGTAGTGTCTCCTTGTTTGTCATCGAAAATGTTTGGAAAACTTAGTTATCATTTGTGGTCATCAGAAACTTGTGGGAAAAATACACTTATTTGGAGCAGAATTCACACACGTTGCAAAAAAGGAGCCAGATGGCATTCCTTTTATACTCAAAATATGTGCCTCAGAGATTGAAAATAGAGCCTTGTGTTTACAGGTATGTTGTTAACTCTTAAAATTCTAAAAACATAAATGCCTATGTGATTTCTTTTAAAGGAGACTTGAAGAAAATCAGTACTCTCAGTTTGTAATAACTGAATTTATTCACATTTATTTGGAAAATGTTAATTGATTTGACTTTAACTTATTTTTTTTCCTAAAATACTAATAAAAATTGAAGTAGGTACATCAAATATGTTTAGATGTCTACATTTTATTATTTTTAGTTTTAGTATTATAGGCTGGAAATTCTTTTTCCTCTGAATTGTGAAGACATGGGTTTTTTTGTGTTGTTGTTGTTGTTTTCTTCATAACATGAATCCTCCTTATTTCATTCCTAACTTTGTATGTGCCTATTATTTTATCCCTCTGTAAACTAGTAGAATCTTTTCCCCCCCATAATTCTAAGATTTTACAATATGTATATTGATGTGGATGTCTTTGTACTAAAGTATAATTTTGCATAATTTTTTTGTTTCTATTCAAGGGAATTTATCGTGTTAGTGGAAACAAAACAAAAACTGAAAAACTGTGTCAAGCTTTGGAGAATGGAATGCATTTGGTAGACATTTCAGAATTTAATTCACATGACATCTGTGAAGTCTTAAAATTATACCTTCGACAGGTGAAGTTTTTATTCTAAACCTACCATCAAATAAAAAGAGCAAAAATGTTTTATGTTGCATATATTTTCAATGGCATAGACTATGTTGATATATTTCTTTTTTTTATAAGAGCATTATATTTATACATAGTAGCTAGGTTCATCCTGACAATTTCATACAGGCATGGATCTGACTCACTCCACTTTAGTCCCCTTTCTTCCTCCCCTTTCTTTCTCTCTTCTTCCCCCTATTCCATTCCATGCTGATATTTTTCTCATTATTAATACACAGATCATAAAATGTACATACATTTTAAAGAATAATAATAATAATAAAGCCAAATTCATTTCCCATCACCCCACCTAAGACAATACAATATTACTATCCCTTGTACAAGTCTTCCAGGTACCTCTTCCATGTTGCAGCCTTCCAACTCCACCTTGGACGTCCTCCTAACCATGTTAAAGGGATAAACATTTTCCTAAACATAATGGAATAAATAACACTTATTAAGTTTTTGTTCCTTTAAGTTTTAGAATGCCAACTTAAAAAGCATAAATGTAGCTGTAAAGGCCAGTGTTCACACTGTTAGGAATATTCAATAAGTAGGTCAGTATCTAGATCATAGTCTAGCTTTGCCTTCAGTGATGTTTCAAAATAGCTATTTTGAGAGGTCAGTGGGAATGGCCATGAAGTTCATCAGGCATCAGGCATAAGGCTTCCTATAAGGTGGATGCTAGAAGTCCAGCAGGAATATGGTCAGGGAGTGGGTTGTTCTATTTTGTCATTTTCTGTTCTCACTATTATACCTGCAGTTGGCAGGAGTAAGTCAAACACAAACACACACACACACACACACACACATCTGTAGGGTGAAGTAAGTGGCCTTGTTGGCTTTAGGCAGCCGCTTTCAGAGGAGTTACAGGAACTTAATCAGCACATTGTTGTGAGCCAAGTACAAAGAGATTTGGGTCAGACCCAGTTGGCCTTCTATCCTTGGGTGAAAATGAAGAGATAATGACAGAGAGAATAGTGCTGATAATCCTTAATCTGTCCTTCTCTGGAGTTCTTTTGCTCTCTTACAGATCCCTTTTAATTTGGTTATTAACTGTCATCCTGAGATCACTCTCCTCTCCTCTCTTTTGTGATGGAACACCTCTCCTGTTTTCTTTGTTTGGGGGTATTCTGTTTTGGTTTATGTCTGTCCTTAAGCAAGGTGAAGTAGGATTGAATATTTGAAACCTTGTTCATCCATAAATGTCTTTCTGTTCTCTTGACAGAAATGGAGTAGTGTAGATAGTGTGGAAGTTTTAGTATTATAGGCTGGAAATTCTTTTTCCTCTGAATTGTGAAGGCATGGGTGTTTTTTGTTCTCTTCACACTGTGAATCCGCCTTATTTCATTCCTAACTTTGTATGTGCCTATTGTTTTGTGCCTCTGTAAGCTAGTAGAATCTTTCCCCCTCCCCATTATTCTAAGATTTTACAATATGTATATTGATGTGGATAACTTTTCATCCACTATTATGGCTACTCCATGATCTCTGTCAGTAGTCAATGCTTTAGTTCTTGGAACTTTTCTTGATTTTTATTGCCCATTTTTTCCCCTTCTGTCTTTGTACTCTCTAGTTGAAGCTCTTGTTTGGATACTCAATAACCCATACTCGTTCTCTAGTTCCCTTACTTTCCTCTATTCTTCTTTTTTTTAAATTAACTTTCTAAGACATTTCCTCAGCTTTATCTTCTTGACTAATGTAAATTACTTCATTCCTGAGATCATGTTTTAATTTTTAAGAATTCTGATTTTTCTATTTCTTTGATAACATTTTTTAAAATGACTATATCATGCTATTTTCCTGTGGATATTTATAGATTTTCTTTATAAGGCTTTGTTTCTCTACTTAGCCTCTAACCCTCTGTAGAAATACAGTGTGACCTTCATATATAACATTAAATTTTGTATAGCCACATAAATTTTAAAAAATAGGTAAAGTTAATGTTAATATTTTATTTAACATTTTGAATATCTAATTATTATTTTTAAATTATGAGATATTTTATTTATTTATTTACAGTTGAGCTCTTAATCTTTGAAATCTGGTATCTATTTGTTCATTTAGAGCACATCTCAATTTTGATCATTTGCACTTCCAGTATTCTTTCAGCATATAAACTAGTGGCCAACATATATTTTTTAAAATATTTATTTTTTAGTTGTAATTGGACACAATACCTTTATTTCACGTATTTATTTTTATGTGGTGCTGAGGATCGAACCCAGGGTCTCGCACATGCGAGGCCAGTGCTCCACCGCTGAGCCACAACCCTAGCCCCTAGTGGCCAACATATTGATAGCATAGTTTTACACCTTTAGTCTGTTATTTTTCTACCCATTTTGATTTTTGTCTTTCATGGTGTTTAGTTATTTTAGAGTTTGGACTTAAAATCTCTTCGGAAGCTCTTGAACACATCAAGATTTTTAAAAAACTTTGAACTTTCCTATAAAGTGGTCTAGGTGGACCATTGGGGATATGCCTGATTACATGTCTCTAGTTCCCTGCTCTTAGACTGGTTTGATCCCCCCTGGAAAGATATGGTACCAATACTGTGGGAGCCAGGGTGGGAAAGATGACTGCAGGAGCAGTGCATTCAGTGTGCATACAGCCAACAAATACCCATTTTCAGACATTCAGCTCTCTGTCCCTTATGTTCGGCATTTCCCCCATTCAGAAAGACTCTGTCACGTTGCCCAGAGAAAATGTATCCAGATTTTTAGGGAAGAAGTTGCTCAAGAAAATGGAGTGGAGACAGGATTTTATAGACTGCTAAGCTTTCTCAGGTGGCCCACCTGCACCCTACCCCAGGATCATAGGACCTGGTACTGATTGTTCAAGTCCCTTTAGGATTCTCAAAATCATGTTGAGTGACAGCTTTCTTGGAACTGCTGCATCAGGACTTGTTCATCTGCTCTTGTGAATTATTGCTTTTTGTTTTCTCTGTTTTCCTAGTCCTTATGGATGTACTGTATTTTAGTGGGATTGCATGAGGGAAAAAAAATTAAGTATAAATTGGTGGATCTACAATGTTAGCCCAGGAAAGTATTGATAACTCTTTAGTCATGTTTTATAGATCCCTCAACTGAGAAATAGCAGTTGATACTTTTGAATGAATATAGGTCTTGTAATATGTCATCCTTTATCTCTTTTAGCCAGTCAGGGAGAGGAGATGAATGGGATCCAACACTGTGAACTTGCATTCTGTTTTAGGAATTTTGTGTGTCCAAGACTTTCATGTGGGAAACTGTGCTCAGTTCTTGCAATAGTATTAGAGAATAGCTTCCATTTTATTCATTTACCTAAAGCTCCAAAAGGTTAAGTGACTTGCTTCAGATCCCAGAGTGGTAAAGATAGAAACTGATCACAAGGCAACACCTGATACAGGACGTCAGGTAGACAAAGGTACACTGGGTTTTCTATTGCAGATCAGTAGAAACATTGAAATTCATTATGGCAATGGACATTTGTTACAGGAACTTTTTCTTTTAATTTAGTTGTGGCAAATCAGGCAATTTCAAAATTCGATGAATAAGATGATGATAGTTATGTTTTTGAAGGTCATATTAACCGGTGCTGATCTTCTTTCTGGCCCAATTAAAACATGGACCCTGTAGCACTATGATATTTTTACCCCTTACCAGTAACATTCATGCCTTTTCTAATTCATTCTATTTACTTCATGTCCTAGTTTTGTTTCAATAGAACAGCTGAAGATCATGCTATTTTTGGTGCAGATGTGAATATAATGTGTTTAGGATATAGATAAGAGTTTTAAAATTCCATCATGAAGCTTAAAGTTTTAAACTTCATTTAAAGTTTAGAGTTTAACTGATTATCTTTTAAGTTGTTTTTAACATAAATATAATTTATGGTGAAGATTTTGACTTGGTTTATAGATCATATCTCTAGCAAACATACGTTTTATGGGCTGGGGATGAAGCTCAGTATTGTGTTTGCCTAGCATGCTTGAGGTCCTAGGTTCAATCCCTAGTACTGTAAAATAAATAAATAAATGAATAAAGATTGACTTTAAATTTAGTTAATCTAAAGGGACAGGTTTAATCCTTTGAGTAACTTGCACTAACAGTTGACTTTAACAAACAAACAAAAAAAAAGTGGAAGATATTTTTAATGTAATTTTATTTCTTTAGCTCCCAGAACCATTTATCTTATTCCGATTATACAAGGAGTTTATGGACCTTGCAAAAGAGATCCAACATGTTAATGAAGAACAAGAAACCAAAAAGGATAACCCTGAGGACAAAAAATACTCAAATATGTGTATAGAAATAAACCGAATTCTTCTAAAAAGCAAGGACCTTCTAAGACAATTGCCAGCATCAAATTTCAACAGTCTTCATTACCTCATAGTACACCTTAAGCGGTAAAAATTTTTATACCATCTTAACCATTTTTAATTGTACAGTGCAATAGTATTAAGTACATTTATATTGTTGTGGTATTGTTTTTAAAATGATTGTTTCATTTTTATGATGTTTTTATTCTGTATTGGGAGAGACATTGAATATATGTTTATGCAGCCAACATTGCCTGTATGTCAGGCTCTGGCTGGGGAAACCAGGATGGAAACAGGGTTTATGCTGTTTGTAGGCTCATCATTGTGGGGGGACAGACCTATACATAACCACAGTACAGCATCATCCTTTTTTCTAGTAGCTGTGCACAGCTTGCAGGCATGCAGAAGTAGTTTGCATGGGGATTAGGGGTAAAGCAGAGGAGGCAAGCACTTGAGTCAGATTTTAAGAACTGAGTGGTGATTTGATAGAGAATGTGCAGAAGAGCATACTAGGCAGAGGGTAACAGACATGGAGACACATGAAAGCATTTTGCATTTGGAAAATATAATTTTGTTAGGCTACAATACAGCAAGCAATAGCAGGAACTGAGCTATCCTGTCTACAGGCCCTTTATAGGGCCTTACATACCTGGCAGATGAGTTGACCATATTGTTTCTGTACACATTAAAGAACTTGTAGTCTACTAGATCTTTCTGACAGCAGTGTGAAAAATGGGTTGGAGTGGAGGCCTTCTGCAGTTCGATCTCCTAGAATAGTCATAGAAATAAAAAGTAGTGAGTGCTTGAAGTAAAGCCAGAACATTGAGAGTGGCAGTAGAACAGAGAGATGTTCAGGAGAGAGAATCATCTAGACTAGAAAATTAGCTGTGTGGGCTGGTGTTGTGGCTCAGTGACAGAGCGCTTGCCTCGCATATGTGAGGCACTGGGTTCAGTCCTCAGCACCACATAAAAATAAATAAACAAAATAAAGATTGTGTTCATGTATAACTAGAAAAATATTAAAAAGAAAAAAGAAAACTAGCTGTGGGGGGATAGGAGTATGACTCAGTGGTAGAATGCTTGCAAAGCACATGTGAAGTGCTGGGTTTGATACTCAACACTGCATCAAAATAAATAAAATAAAGATATTGTGTCCATTTAAAAATACTTTTTAAAAAAGAAAACTGTGGACAATGAGAGAGAAATTGATGATGCTGTTTCAGTTTCCAGTATAAGGAACTGAGAGTATATACCATATACAAAGATGTAGCAAATTTTAGGAATATTTTTTTTCCTTCTGCTGGTAAAACTTCAATAGTTCCTTCTATTTACATGAATTTTATCCTAATATAGTACTCTGAAACTCAGTTTGGTGTGTGGTAAGTATTATAATCAAACAAATGTATCTTTACCTAGACCCACCAAATTTGACCCTTGACAAATTTTTGTAGTCTTCTGTAACCCATGCTTCCTCTACCCTTCCATTCATAGTAGACTACCATTAAGGAACTCTAATAGGCAAATCTCATACAGCTTTATATGTTTTTTTCAGGGTTGTAGACCATGCTGAAGAAAACAAGATGACCTCCAAAAACTTGGGGGTGATATTTGGACCAAGTCTCATTAGGCCAAGGCCCACAACTGCTCCTGTCACCATCTCCTCTCTCACTGAATATGCAAATCAGGCACGGTTGGTAGAGTTCCTCATTACTTACTCACAGAAGATCTTCGATGGGTCCCTAGAGCCACAAGATGTTACGTGTAGTACAGGTGTTGTTTCACCTCAGGTTGATCAAAGCTGTCCTTCAAAACCTGTGATATCAGCAGAAGAAAGAGACTCAGAACATTCCACAAAGTCACTGTATTTTTCTTCAAAGGAGGTAAGTTTTAACCATTATAGAATTGCTTTAAAACTTTATGATGTTTATGTTAATAAATTAACAATCTTTGAACTGTTTATTTTGAGGTGTGTTTTGCTTTTTTAGTTTAAAAATTCTCTTGCATCATTAGGATAGCCACACTGCAGATAGTGAAAGTGAAAATTTTGAATCAGCTACATCATTTGAGGAATCAGAACGCAAGCAAAATACATTGGAAAAATGTGATGCATGTCTCATCGGTGAGTGGTCATGTAAAATATATGTTTGCATATTTTCAAACTTTGCAAATAAGCTATGATTAAAAACCAAGGTGAAAGAAGTTGAAGGAAGTTCAAACTTCAAAGTTGTATTAGTTAACTTTGCTAGCCATTGGGAAAGTTTAATGAATGTCATTTAAATGAATATCATTGTTTGTATCTCTCTTGTTAAGAGATACTTGGAATTCATAAATGTTTTTGTTCTCTTTCTGAAATTTGTTTTCATTTTTACTTCTTGTCATCAATGTCAAGGCAGGAAAAAACTGGACTCCTGAAACTCAAAAAAATAGACTCCTAATTTTTTTTTTTTATGTACTTTCTACCTGTATCCTACCTTTAACACATTAAGCACACATTTCTTCCATTTCCTTGGTTGCAATCCTTGTATTCATTGTTTTTCTCTGATATTATTTCAGTGAATGGTTTCTGTTAACGTGGTTGAAATGCTTCGATTTGTTACTGCTAAATTCTAATTTTTCAAAATATAGGCATATGTGTTAAATTTGATGTATAAAATTAAACATCAATGAGTATAGCCCGAGAAAGTCTGAAAACAAAAGGAGTCAATTACCTGTCTGCTAAGAAAAGCACTGGACTCACTGATTGCATTTATCTGATTTGATCTTATTTTCAGTTCTGTGCTATGAACATTGGCCTCATTTAAGCCATGGCTAACAGTCAGAGGAAGGTTAATAATGCCAAGGGTCATGTCCCTAAATTATTGTTCATTCAGGATTTGAACCTAGTCCTGTCTCATTTTTTTTTTTAAAGAGAAGGAGAGAGAGGGAGAGAGAGAGAGAGAATTTTAATATTTATTTTTTAGTATTTGGCGGACACAACATCTTTGTTTGTATGTGGTGCTGAGGATCGAACCCCGGCCACACGCATGCCAGGCGAGCGCGCTACTGCTTGAGCCACATCCCCAGCCCCCCGTCTCATTCCTAAATCTAACCTTGTTTCACTGTGCCATGAAATTGGATTCCTGGTTAGGTATAGTAATAAAATAAATAATTTTTTAAAGTGTTCAAGTTTTTATTACATACCAGGTAATTCTAAGCCTTTTGCTTATTAGTTTATTAAGACCACATGATAGCATAGCTCCATATAGGGGTCTTTCTTGACAGAGGAAAGCAGGTAGGGCTAGTGCAATGGACTTGCCCAGGTCAGAACTGGAGCAGGAGTGGAGCCAGAACCCAGGCAGCTATCTGCAGATCCTGCAGTCTTCATCATGCAGGACTGTAAAAATGCACTAATGCTTATCATCCAACCACAATGGCTCAGCTCCCTTCTATCAACGTGGAGAAGGGCCCAGGAGAGCAAATCACATGAGCAGTGCCTGGGAACCAGGGAAGAGAGGCCAGCAGCCTCAGATGAAGAAGGAGGTCAGATGAGATGATGATCTGCAAGTGATGCTGGTGTGGACCTGTCTGCAAACCACTGCCCTAGGATGTGGGAGAAGGACCAGGTGGCAGGGACAACGACAGTGGGCTATGAACAGGGCCAGTGGCAAAGCCATCTGACCAGTCAAGGTGCACAGTTATCTGATGTTTCTCAGCAGGGAGAGGAGAATCATGGTCAGAGGGCTGCACCTTTCCAGCAACAGGAGCTTCTGGGGTAAAAGCAGCAAAGACAGTGTGAGGAGCTGAGAGTCCTAAATGAGAAAACAGGGACCTTAGGACCAGACTAGAGGAGAAAGATAAGGAAGTAAATCTGGAGTCACCAGAACCAATAGCAGAATGACAGTTTTGACAACTCTTCAACCTTAATTTGAGACCAATGGATGTTGCCATGTATTAGTGGATCAGCTGGGAGAGCATCCATGTCCTCTCTGGTGTGTGCCCTCAGTATGGACAGAATGTAGCTGGAAAGCAGATGAAGTGATAGGAAAAGTCCTTGGGATTCAGGGTATGGCTTTGGTTGGTGTATAGAATACTGTAACTGTTCTGAGGTTACCAATGTCTGCTTGTTGAAATCAGGACAATCCTAACCCAGCAAATATTCACTCATCGATAGTATATTAAAAAAATATTACTTCAGGAAGTGTTTTTTTGTTTTGTTTTATTTAACCAACTTATGATGTGATTTGTGGCTATTTATTATATTGATTTAGATAAAATTTTAAAAGTAATGCTCTAATTCAAAATGTGCCTTTAATGATGTATGAATTTTTAATTCCTCTGCATAGATGACTGAGAATATCATGTGTTGTTTTGAGAGTGTGCCCACTAATAACTAACCACACTCCCTTATTAACAGAGCTCCATGAAGTGAAAAAAAAATTTCTTTTTCAGATAACAAAGAACTTGAATCATCATCCCAAAAGATGGACAATATTTGTAGAACCACTAAGCCACTTGCTCTGAAATTTGATAGGGCAACAAACAATATACAGAGGCATATGCCAAGGACCAAGATTAGACCTGTAAGTTTGCCTGTAGATAGATTACTTCTTGCAAGCCCTCCTACTGAGAGAAACAGCAGAAATGTGGGAAATGTCAATTCAGACAAGTTTTGCAAGAATCCTACCTTTGAAGGACTTTATAGAAAAGATACCCCTACTACTGTTTGTTCCAAATTTAATGGTTTTGATCAGCAGATTCTACAGAAAACTCGAGGACAGCAATGTGAACAAAACAACTTAACTGCCAAGACTGCAATGATTGTGCCTAGTGCACTCCAGGAAAAAGTGACAGTGAGCATCAGGGTCAGTGGTGACCATCCCAGCAGTGCCACACAGCCCAGCACGCCAGCCATATCAGCAAGAGAGGTGTCAGAGAGACGGTCCTCCGATTCCTGCCCTCTTGCTCTTGCCAGAGCACCCAGAACACTACAGCCCCTACACTGGACAACATTCTATAAACCACGTACCCCCACCAGCAACGTCAAGGGAACTGAGGAGAGACCAGCTTCACCGTTAGCAGCAGTGCCTCCTAGCACAGCTTGTACTCCCCTGAGTCATGTGGAGAAATCAGTTCCAGACTCAGACAGCACATCAGCTTGTCCTTTGCAGCCAGGTGGTAAGCCTAAAGAGAACTCTGAGGAGCACGGCCTGCCTGACGTGAATCCAACATGCCAGAGACCCAGGCTAAAACGAATGCAACAGTTTGAAGACCTTGAAGATGAAATCCCACAATTTGTGTAGGGTTGTAAAATTCAGTTTTTATTTTTGTTATTTTGTTGTTTTTGTTTTGTGATATTGTGTTTATTTTATGAAAGAATGTTTTGACAGGACCCCTTTTGTATAGGATTGCCAAAGTGTGTATTTTGCCTTTTATTCTCGTATGGTGTTTGCTAGTCATATAGAATAGGTCGTGTTTTAGTCATATAGAATGGTAGTGCCTCACTGGAATTGTCCTTAAATTTTGTATTTTTGAAGTTTTGCATAAAATAAGTATTGCATTTTTAAAATTTCAAATGATTTTCCCCATAAAATTATCCACTTAAATGCATCCCTAGTATAATGAAATAGTTCTCAACAAATAGGTGCACTAGGGGAAAATCAGCTTTATTTTGGAGCAAAACTAAGTGCTTATTTATAAAATGTTTCTGAATGCAAATTCCTGAAAGATCTTTATTGCGTATGAATATGTTTTCCCATACAGTTTTATAGTACATCTTTGACCACTTGTGTGTTTATAGTAAGTATGTAAGTTTTTATTTTTCAATTGGCAATTCACCTAACTTTTTAATATTTACATAATGTCCAAAAAGTTTGCAAATATATAGTTCTAATTGTCAGTTTTTACATGTGGTGGTCAGTTAAATTATACAAAGAAAATGCACTTAAATACCAAAAAGTTTGGAACTGTCATAAAATAAAAATTTGTACAGATGAAGCCAAGGAGTAAAAAACTATCAAATTTATTAAAACCATCTAAAGCCAAATAAGATATAACTAAACTATGTAATTTAAATTATATTATAATGTTATATATAACATATAATATGTTGTATATTACATATGGTATTATATAACATGTTTATGATATAATATTATATATAAACAATAATTATAATATATTTTATATATTACATATTACTATAAATTATATAAATAATATTACATTATTAGTATTATGTAAATTATATTTATTATATAATAAATAATGATCGTATTATTATAAATAATACATGAATTAACATACATATGCTATATAATATATAATTAGATTATATCATGATAAATAATATGAATTATAATATGCTATTATATAAAACATAATGTATAATATAATTTAAATTATATATTTATATTTTATATGATTTCAGATAGTTCTAATAAATTTGATAGTTTTTAACCTCTTAGCTTCATCTGTATAAATTTTTATTTTATGATAGTTCCAAACTTTTTGGTATTTTCTACAATGCTCTAAATACTGCTTCAGAAATTTTTTAATTCAGTGCATTTTCTCTTGATATTGTGTGGGTTTTGTTGAAACCATTCCCTTTGTATGAAATGTTTCAACTTATAAATCATTTATATACTTTTTCTACCTGGACTATCAACCATTAAAAATGTATATTTCATTAGAATTAAGGAAAAATTTATTTAAGTTCATTCTGAGAATACAGTAAGCCTCATTGTTTGAAATTGGATAGAAGGTGTAGATGATTGAATCTGTTTCATTTGTAAAATACCCAGTTTTTATAACTAGTGCATTCCTGTTATTTTCTGGATTTTCATCATTTTGTCTAAAATAGGATATAAAAGGGAAAAAAATAAAATAGCCTGTTTTTATATGTGTGAACTATATTGCTAGTCAGTGTTTTTGTATGACCATGTTATACTTGATAAAAAAATTATATGTATATGTTTATACACACACATTATATATATTTAAATTATTTCAAATATTTGAAGTTATTGTGGCTCCTATGAAACTGTTGCCTCTTAGAGTATGATACTTTAAGATTATTAACCATTGACTCGGTGGTCAACACTTGGGCTCATATTATCACTTGACTATAATAAGAAATGTGTTTTATGGCATGTTGTCTTATAGTTCTCTTTAACATTCAGGACTAAAGAGAAATGAATAAACAGCCTTTTTATGCTTAAGTGTATTTTTTTAATCTTCCTTATACGAAGTACAAAAATCATATTGGTATGAAAACCTGAAAAGAAAATCAGAGCTAATATTTATTGAGCCCCTTCTGTGTATTAAAACTTGGTATCGAGTTGAAATTTCACAGCAACCTATAATGGGTAAGTAAGCATTTTATGATTCCTGTGTTACAGGTGAGGAAACTGAGGCTTAACTAAGTGACATGCTTTTAGGTTCCAGAGATGCAGCAAGCACAACCAAATCTCAAATCCAGGGCCATCAAATTTTGATGGCTCGTGCCTCTTTTTTGGTGGGGGAAGGGTACCAGGGATTGAACTCAGAGGCACTCAGCCACTGAGCCACATCCCCAGCACTATTTTGTATTTTATTTAGAGACACGGTCTCACTGAGTTGCTTAGTAACTTGCTTTTGCTCAGGCTGGCTTTGAACTTGAGATCCTTCTGCCTCAGCCTCCCAATGGGATTACTTGCGCATGCACCAGCTGGTTAGTGCTCTTAATGACTGTGATTACTTAATAATAGCAGGAAGCACTGAACAATAGAAAAAGCATCTTTAGATTTTTTTATTGTAAAATACACATAAATTTGCCATTTGAACCATTTTTAAGTGTACAGTTCAGTGGTACTAATATATTCACATTGTTCTGTGACTATGCTCAAGTGTCCATTTCCAGAACCTTTTCATTATCCTGTAATAAAACTTACAGACTTTAAACTCCTTCTGTTTTAATATGTGGATACCACCCACTCAGAGCATACAGACCTCATAAGTGAGGGTGGCACTGTCATGTCCTTTCTGCCTTTAGGGCCTCCTGGGATCTTGTTCAGCTTAGAGCCTTCAGACCGAATGTTCCAGCTTCCTGGGGGCACTGAAGCAAGGGTCTCCTGAGAAGAGGTTGCTGTTTCTAGAGTACCCAGAGTACTTATTGCCCTGCTACCCAATAATGTGGTAGAAATTGTTCATTGGAAAGTTGTCTTAGGACACTTGGAAACAGATGCGAGCAAGGGGAACGGGCATCATGAAGATTCCTATTAGAGCTGCCAGGCCACCAGAAAGCTTTGTGCAATGTATATTGTTCAAGTTTATGAGAATTGTTTGTGGAGGGTTGATAATACTTTCCCTCCATGGGCCTGTTTACATGCTGAGAATTTAATTAGAGTTTATGAATATTTTAAACTACTTTAAATGTACCATATTGGTATGATTATATGTGTAGACAGTTCAGTTAATATCTGTAGTTTAGCAAAGTTACATTCACAATCAGTATGTAGAAGTCTGTTGTATTCCTGGATATGGACAACTAACAGAAATTAAGGTCTATAGAAAAATTTATAATAAAATGAAAAATTGAAGTACTTAAGAATAAAAAGATATAAAAGATCTTCATGTATAAAATTTTAGACCACATCAGGGATAAAAGCCTCAATATTGTAAAGATGGTCATTTACCTTTCATTTTTGGATTCAATAAATCCCAACCAAAATACATTTGTACCATTTGAAAATTAAAGACATAATGCCCCATTACCTCTAACTACTTGAGTGTGTACTTAAACAGTAACATTCCTTCATAACCATAGTGTACCCATGGAACTCTGGAGATTAACATGATAATGACATCTAATCCACATTTTGCTAATTGCCCCAATGATGATGCTGTCTTCAAGCATCCCAATCCAGGATCACATGGTGGATTTAATTGTCTATCTCTTTGGTCTCCTTCCATCTGGAACAGTTTTTTTGGTCTTTTCATTCATGACCTTGACACTTGAGGAGGGTAGGCCAGTTTGTATAATGTTTCTCAGTTTGGGTTTCTGTAATATTTCCTCATGATTAGAGACAAGATATACATTTTTGTCATAAATATCAGAAATGATGCTTTATTCTCTTTATTGTATCATACTAGAAGATGCACAATGTCCATTTATCCCATTTCTGGTGATGTAGTCTTTGGCCACTAGGTTAGGATAGTATCTACAAAGTATTTCCATCATGAAGTTAGTAGTTGAGATTCTTGGAGACCGTGTAAATGTTCTGTTTCCCACTGAATTGCCAACAGCTATTTTAAGTCTATTGACAATTCTTGCCTGAATCAGTTACTATTTTGATTGCCAGGTGGTGAGTCTGCTGCTTCTGCTTTGATATCCTACTTTAAGGAAGAACCTTCCTTCTCCATGTGTTTATTCATTTATATCAGTTTAGGTTCCTGGGCTCTCACTTTATTTAGTAGTTTATAATATATTACTGTCATTTATTTTCATGCTGAAAATTTTCCAGATTTTGTCTGTGGGAATTTCTTTAAGCTGTCTTCTATGTCCCTTTGACATGTCTACATTTCTTTTGGGATTTTTCCTTATTGTTTTGGTATATCAAAGTGTTACAAGGTCATCTTGTACTTTTCCCTGTCCCAGATTTAGATTAGACATTTTCGAAGGTACATTGTTTCCTTTAAATGGAGAATGGTATATGGAAGGCAAGACTTGAGAAGGATTCAGAGCTAATTGCAGAGTCACTGGTTTTAAGCCCTCTTGGTAGACAAACTTGTACAGATACACATGTAGACATAAATACATCATTTGTGCATTCATATGTAAACATACTTTGTAAACCTTGAAGACCTTAAATTCACACCGACATCTTTAATTCTACTTCAATACTTTGGGATTTACACTATTTCCCTTTCCATATTTGTAATTCCCTTTTCTCATAGAAATCCAACTTCCATAATGCTAAATACTTAATTTTTCCCTCAACCTCTTGACAAAGTCAACTGCTGCTTCATTCCACCTGGTCCCAAATACAACAAATCAAGTCCTCAGTAATTGCTGTACTGGTTCTGACCACAGTGATCCCTGGCATGTCACTTGAAACCCTAACCTCTACACCAGCCCAGACCACAGCAAGAGAACCCTTACCCCCAGGGAAGTTCATGCTGAGCCCACCTTTGGAATCCTAGGTCCCTATCATTTGCCAGAGGGAGGCAAGAAACAAATGGACTATCTTTTTTGAAAATGAGCATTTATTGAATTTTTAGTTTACTAGGGAAAGTTTAAAAATGAATGGTTATACATATTTACCAGAAATGATTAAACATGGATGTATTTATAGCATTTATAGAAATAAATTTACAAAAAATAAATTACAATTTTATTTTCAACGATAACAAATTTCAAGTAATATTGATACATTATTGAGTAAAGCATGTATGTTACACTATTTTGAAATGTCTTTACAGTCAGCCAGTTTAATTGCCCTGCATATAGAAAAATTATCATACATTTCAGGCAATAGATTTGAACTTGTCTCTGACTTTTTATGTAAACAATGTAACAGATAGTAGTGGTACATCACACAGCCACACGGGGTTTCTGGATATGTACTGCCCACTTGTTACAGGGTATTTTAAGTCTCCTTTACAGCATTAAGAACTGGAAAGAAGAGATAATGCAATACTGTGAAACTGTATAATGTGAGCCTTTCACTGTCTAAGCATTGATGATTGATCAGTGAATACAGCTCTGAAATCTAAAAACCAGGACAGACTGTCAGAATGAGAAGATCTCATTTATAGTTGGAGGCATAGAGCCTGGCATTTTGTAGTTGCTGGCTACAAAAATTCAGGTTTTCCTTTCATTTTACATGAAAAATTTTGTCTTTTGAGATCTACTTCTGGCAAAACCAGAACTTTTCTGTTTCCATCTATTTTCCTCAAAATCGTAATGAGTTCACCTGGTTAGTTGCCAAACAAGTCACTAGATTGTGTTATTCAACATAACTGACAAGGACAATGAATCAAGGGCTCCGGATTCCCATCTGCAAGTGCAGACACCAATAATTCAGATTAGTAAGAGTTAAGTTATAAGTTCAGAAGAGTGTAAATATGTGTGTATCAATTAAAGAATAATTATTAAATAAACTCTTAGCCAGGCATGGTGGCACATGTCTATAATCCCAGCTACTCCAAAGGCTGAGGCAGGAGTATTGCAAGTTCAAGAAGTGCCTGGACAACTTAGTGAAACCCTCTCAGAATTCTGTTTTTGAAAAGGTAGAGATAGCATACACCCTGGATTCAATCCCTAGCACCTAAAAAAGAGAAAAAAAAAAGCATAAAATGAACTCCCCTCTACCCATTTATTTCTAATAGATTGTTAATGAGCAACTAACACATCCCTCCCTGATCACAGGCCTGTGTCTTCCCCCACCAAGGTAAACATTTTGAATGTTTGGGGTAGGGGAGTGCTAGAATTGACCCAGCATGTTGCACATACCAGGCAAACATTCTACCACTGAGCTACAAGCTTTTTCTATTTGATGTTGAGGCAGTTCTAAGTTGCTCTGACTGGCCTGGAACTTGAGATCCTCCTGCCTCAGCCTCCCAGGTAGCTGGGATTATAGGCATGTACCACATCACCCAGATACTATTTTGAATATTTTTTTTGTTTGTTTTAATTTGCCATCAATATAGTGTTTAATTTTGCCTGGTTTTTGGCCTTTTTGCAAGTGGAACCACTGAATTGTTGGTAACTTTGTACAAGAATGGAAAAAGAAATCATAAGAGTTCACCTGGTCAGTTGCCAAACAAGTCACTAGATTGTGTTATTCAACATAACCGACAAGGACAATGAATCAAGGGCTCCGGATTCCCATCTGGAACTACTAATGAAAAAACTGATATAACTACACTGACATCTGATAAAACAGATTTTACGTGAAGAAGGACTACCAAAGAGAAAGGGATATTTCATAATGATAAGGAAGCCAGTTCTCTAGGAAGAATTTCACAATTCTAAACACTGTTTCAAAATACATAAGGCTAGAGAGACAACTAAAAAAAAAAAAAGGGACAAATCCACAATCGTGGGGGTTGCTGGGTATACCTTTAAATAGAAAGGTTGTAAAAAAAAAAAGTATGAAGACTACAGTTAACAAACTTGACCTAATTGAGATACAGAAAACACTTTAAACAGTGGCAGAATTCCTATTTCACTTAAACC